GGACGGACGGACGGACGGACGGACGGACGGACAGACAGATGATGGATGGAGCTATATACATTTTCAATCTTCAACTACTATAATATTTCTATAGCCCACCAGGATTTATTAATCACATCTTATATATACTTTATATCCATAAAATGACCTAAATTTCCTTTAGAAATAATGGCATAATATTTCTCCTCTAGCACTGACATTTATCCATAATCAAACAGTAGCAAAAATAACATTTGCCTGTGCTTTGCACACATAGAGATATTAAAAGAGAACAGATAATGAAAAAAGTGTACACCTGTAAAATTACAAACATATGCAAATCTAATGTTCTTCCAGATATCAACTTTCCAGAAGGAAAGTGACGGAAAGCTCATCACAGAAATAAAACCCTGTCTCTATGGGTGGATTGCATCTCACTTTCTGGTTTAGTGTAATAAATCCTGTGCTTGCTACTGACTGTATCCAAAAGGCTGTCAGCTACTACCACCGAGACTAATTCAACTTTTGCCCTGAACAAAAATGAGAATGTGAGACAAGCTTTCCTTGAAGAAACCAAAGATATATCTCTTCCTGTTTCCCTTTGTATACCAATGGAAAGCCCACCCACAAAACATATTGACATTAATGCCTGTATTTCCTAACAACTGGTGGTCAGAGATAGGTCACTTCCAATTCTGGAGATAATATATAGCTATCATTAATTGTAGTCATGGATACTCATCCTCCATGAAAATTGTTTCTTTCTCTTCGAAAGCCACTCAAATATATAGTCTTTACTGTGCAGTCTCACAGCTGCAAATTCCTTTATTTTAATTGTGTGCTATGTAAAGATTACCTTACCCTTTTTTTTGAATCTCTCATAATTCAGCTAAATCATCCAGATTTAGAGACTGATCAATGGATAAGATCCTATTAAACAAACAATTGTGACTGGATTTTGTTTTTAGAATACACTGAATTTAGGTGAAACCAAAACCGTAAAAGCTTCACCAGACTCAGCAATTCCATCTGTCCAGCATTTGGGATTATATTAGAAAAGTACTAGTAAAATCTGTTCTTCTTTCCAAGAAATAATATTTTGGAGGGCAACATTTTGATCTCAGAGGTACATTTTGGCAGGGAAAAAAATCTTTTGTTTTCTAACCACGATTAATTGAGTGGGTATTTCCATACCAGCAATTTCAATTCCTAAAACTTGAATGCAGACAAAGTTATCTCTGTATGTTACTTTTTAATTCATAATACTAACAAGTATTACAAAATACTTTGCTCATACTACACACCCCTTGGCAAGCCAAAAAGGTTTTATCCAAATGTATCAATCAACCAGCAGAATTAAAAACTGGAACAGTTTTATCATGTATCTTCCATCATACAGTAGATCTCCTTGGGAGAATTAAAATATTTTCTAAAACAGATTTGGAATGTTTTGAAGGGAAAGGTATTTTGTATAAATGGTTGGCTTTTTATGTAACATTAAATATAACCCAAATGGATTAAATCCAAGAGTTTTAAAGTCACATAACAACTGTTAGTTATCACATTGAAATGTACTAATGTTTATTTTTTCCCCTAAACAATGGAACTGCTGTCTCAAAACTACCCAGACTATTAAAACCTACAACGTTCAAATGAAAGGAGGAATTAATACGGAATTAAACACAAGCCTCCACAGTGGGAGAGTTCTTTTGAGAGGCAAAATTTTTAGACAAGACATTAAATGGATCTGCGGAAAAATATTGCTTTGGAATGTATAAAACGATGATCATCTGCACTTTCAAAATTAGAGAGGGGCCTAGAAAATGCCACTGAAAGCATTGCAGTATTTCACCTTGACACTCTTCAGTGCTGTTCAATTGAATTGTTACATGAGATGGCAGAATCTAATGAAATTCAACACATTATAGATTCTCATCTATATTTTTATATCTGATAACTAACAGCCAGAGTGAATAATTGGTGGAAGCACTCCTGTTTTTTCCCCAAACATCCCAGAAGTAGAGTGCTTTTTGAAGAGAGAACATTTTGTAACATAGATGAAAAGTGTTAGGATCATGCAGCAGTATGAATTCAAATGAGAAGGGATAATTCAGAATACCTGTTGTACCTGTTACAACATCTGACAGATCTTGGTCTTACATGACTGCAGATCTAGGCAACAGCATGTATGATTGAAAGAGATGCCAACAGGTACATAATAAATATATCAACATATATTCTGATTCCCCTTTTTATTCCTTGGATCAGATCACTGTGTTGCCTTAAATAGTACCTTGTTGGTGTTTAAACAGATATTCAAAACAACCAATATTCAAAACAACCAAAAATTATGAAGTATGCATCCACTATTCTGCCTCGCTTTTTCCTTCACTCGATCACAAATTTGTTGTAACATTTTAGGCAAATGCTCATTGTTTTCTTTTACATTCTCAGACTCACCGAGTGCTCTTCAAGCTTTCCTAAGATTGCCAAGTCAGTTGAAATGTTTGTAAGCCTAATAAAAGGTCTTTTGGAAAAACTACTGGATTATCGCGCTGTAATGAATGATGAAAGCAAGGACAATCGTATGAGTTGCACTGTGAATTTATTGGTATGTGGTACCTTAAAGATTTGCATAAAGTTCTAAAGTTTTTAATTTGGAGCAATTTACAAAGTCTATAAGCCCATACTGCAGGGGTGTTCAACCTTGGCAACTTTAAGACCTTAATTCCCAGAATTCCCCAGCCAGCCAGTATTTTCCAAGGTTGCCCACCCCTGCCTTACTGTATTGTAAAGCTGGACAATAGTAGCAACTATTATATGACATTATTATAGATAGTTTTATAGCAGGAAAGTGGAAACTGCAACCCACCATGTTTTCATTTATTTGGGAGGAAAACTCCAACAATGTAATCCAAATTTTATAATTTAAACTAGAAACAGAGATGTAACATTTGACATCACGCTATGGGTGTTTGGATGTATTCTCTTGTGTCACCTTTATTTTCTGGATTGCTGTTTTTAATGTTGTTTTCTGCCTGATGTTGCAGGCAGAATTTCGAGTGGACAGGCATATAAATTGAATTAATTAAGTAATGAAATGTACTTGGCACTTTTTGAATGTTCAGATTGATCTCACTAATTTTATTAACTTGCCACAGTTTTATAAGATTGGTGAAAATGATTGTCCTTATATTGTGGTTGAAAGGGAAGGCAGGATACCTAAGTGACTTCATGAATGAGCTAAGTATTTCACTGAGTAGTGTACTTCACAACTCACTGTTTATATACTTAGACCAGGGGTGTCAAACTGCCGGCCCGAGGGGCCGGACACGTCATGTGGAAGCCGCGCCCACCCCATTGCCAGAAATGGCAAAACCGTCTCGATACGTTGCACAATGTCACATGACATTGCGAGTTTGACATGTCTGACTTAGATCATCCTACATCTCCTAGGCCACAATAATCCTTATTTAATGCACATTCCTAAGAGAAATTGAGCTCCCTCTAAGTCATTCTTTCCTTCTCAGATGATCAAGATCTCCTCCATCATCTTTTCTGTTGCCAGGTAGAATATGTAATACAGGCAGTCCTCAACTTACCACAGTTCATTTAGTGACCATTCGAAGATACAACAACACTAAAAAAGTGACTTATGACTGTTTTTCATACTTATGACTATTGCAATATCCTCATGGTCACATAATCAAAATTCAGATGCTTGGCAACTAACTCATATTTATAATGATTGCCATGTCCCAAGATCATGTGATTCTCTTTGTGACCTTGTGGCAAGCAAAGTCAATGAGGAAGTCAGAGACACATAATTAGCCATGTTACTAACTTAACAACTGCAGTGATTCACTTTACAACTGCGGCAAGAAAGGTTGTAAAAATGGGGCAAAACTCACTTAACAAATGTGTCACTTAACGACAGAAATTTTGGGCTTAGTTATGCTCTTAAGTCAAGGACTACCTGTATATGGTTTTAAGTGGAGAAGGGAGTAAAAGTTCCATACAAAAATGGAACTTTGAAATACATTTCAAATACAGCCTGCTCAATATATTCTTGCTCTATCAAGAAAAAGATTAAAGTTTTCTCTCTTTTTTTCACAAACAAAAACATTTTATTAAACTTGCTGTGATGAAAATCATTTTTTTGCATTCATGCAAAACAGAGTATTTTTTAAAATCCTCATGACTGCTGTCAGTAATTTGCTGCTCTACCATGAATTCTACCATGATCATGAATTCTATCCACGCTGGTTTCAGTGGGCAGTAATGTATAAATAATGCATATTTATGTTAACATTAATTGAAAGCTTTGAGATTTTAAAAATGAAACAAAGCAAAATTACTCCCTGAATAAGAAATTATGCATATTTGAAGAATATTGTAAAAAGAATCATCCCAATCATGTTTGAACACAGGACTAATCAAATTTTATTCATTTTTCCTCCTAGAATTTCTACAAGGAAATTAATCGTGAAGAAATGTATATAAGGTATAGTACTTGCTCTGTTGATTACACTTATCACTGAAAAGATCAGTGTTGTTTTCTTTGCATAATCTTCAGGATTACACATGGATTTATAGTACATTATTATCCCAGAAATTTTGTTTTATGTTCTACAGAGGCTCAACACATATTTTTGTCAAAGTTGCTCATATACTTTAGTTTTGGGGGAAAGGTATGTAATTTAAATAAGGAGGATCATAATTTAAAATTGGCAGATAAAGGACATATTGACTATGATGAATTGAATAAAATCTATCATAAATTTTGCAACAATTGTAGTCTTTCTTTTGGAATCAGATGAGAAATCAAATCTCTTTTCGTAGAAACAATATTTTTTAGCTTGTTCAGTTGAATGAGATTCTGTGACAGGAGTTGTTTTTCTGGTCGATATAAAGCTATTCAGATAGAGAGATAGGGAATGAGAAATAAAAGCCTTTGCAGCAAAAAAGCCTTTAAGTGAGCTGTATAAAATCACAGACTGAGATCAGCATCTTTGATTTATGTAACAAGTACAAATTTGACTTTCCAATTTTCAATTTATATTCAACATCTTTTGAACAAGTATATTAGAAGAGGCAGGTATGTTAAGCTGGATTGTAGTTAGAGTGAGACATCTTCAGAATGTCTTGCTGATCCAAATGAACCGTAGTTTTATTTTTTATTTTTATTTACTTTCTTTTGCAATAATAATAAAAAATAAAAATCTTATGAATAAAAGCTGTATTCTAAATTTGTCTTTCTTTAAGATATTAGCCTCTTAATAAACATGTTTTTGTATATACAGTATGACATCTGTGTGTCTCAGTTATATACACATTCATATTTTCAGTTACATAATATATAATACTCTTATTCTATTATTTACTATACTATTTAATACAAATTATATGTATAAGTATATTAGAGAATATATATTATATTTTATGTAATTTTCATATCTTATCTTTTAATTGGGAAGCTATCAGGATATGGACAGTGCTGTATGTGTGTGTGTATGCATGTGTGTGTTTGTGTGCGTACCTTTTTTTTCAGCTGGGAAAAATAAAACTTCAGTCCTTATATATGCAGAAGTCTTTTTCTCATTAGACAGCCTATAAAGTGCTACGATTTGAAAACCCCAGAATGTAAATCCTCTCTTATGAGGCAGGACAATGCATTTTTAACTTGACAATATAATCATGTTTTCAAACTTAACTTCAAAATCATAGAAACTGGAAGTATAATGACCGAATCAACCAAATGTGGAACATGGTTAATTCATGTGACTGATACTTCAATGACTTATTACGGAGTCATATTTAAATTTTGGTAGTAGTTCTCGTCATTCTAGTAGGGTAGAGTAATAGAGATAGATCCATATTTTATGAATTTAAAATAATGCTGATATTAAAGATCTCTCTCTTTTTTTGCTGCATCTATTAACAGGTATCTGTATAAACTTCGGGACCTTCATTTAGATTCTGAGAACTACACTGAAGCTGCATATACCCTTCTGCTGCATGCGTCCCTTCTGAAGGCAAGTTGCTTATTTGCAATTGAGCTCAAGTACTGGAAAGTCAAGAGTTGGAGGAAATTGTCCTTACACCAAATTGTGTTGCAGGAAATAATAAGTGATTGTATAGTTATGTATGTATTGATGGAATAGGGTGAACCTAGATTTGAACTAGTCTCCTACATGCAAATAATGAACTCCCTTTCACAACCGGTATCTATGCTATTATAAAGAAAAAAGTAGGAGGAAATCCGAATAAATCACACATGTGCTTTCATACACTGAATCCCTAATCCAATCAAAACAGCATTTTGACATTTGGAGCAATAAACAATAAGTGAAAGTTCTTCAGGTGTTCCTAGGAAGAAAGAAATGAGAAGCAGGGGAAGAGGAATGCAGTGGAGAAACCTCAAAACAGACCTAGCTGACTGGTTGGATACTGAACAGGGGCAATCACTCTTCGGTGATAGATTACACATATTTTCTAAGTAATAGATAAAAAAAATCATAGTCCAGTCCAGAGGTAGAATTTAATAAATCATGTCAGTATTTTAATTATAATTTTGATGTGTATTGAATACTATATGGCCATATTTTTTAAAATCTTTGGGACGGTTAAGTAGGGATGAGCTTTCAGACAGATTTCTATTGTCTGATGTTTCTGGCATCTTCAGAAGATGAGTGAGCTGCTTTGTAGAGTACCACTCAGTATCTCCCAAGCAAGAAGACTTGGCCTTACTGAGAAATTGTGGTGAGTTTATGAAAGAGTATGACGTTCATTTTTCTCAAAACTTAGTTTAATCTGCCCTCTGGAACCTGCTGCTTCATTAACTCTTCAAATTAACATTCACATTTCTGTGCATATAAAGCTACTGACATTTCCAAACTTTTACCCGCAAACGTGGCATCGGTGCATTTGTTAAACCATTAAATGCTTTTAAGAGGAAAGGAAGGGAAAATCAGTTGTTCTACACTGTTACAGATATATTGGCTCTCTGTATGTGTGTATTTTAAAGCCTCTTAGTTTCCTTGGTATTACCAAGTGACCTTGACTCAGGATTTCAATTTCAATTCCATGTTGTTCTGGGGAAGTTACAGAGGTGAAAGAAGTTGGAGAGATGCCAGGATTTAAACTCAGCAGGCACTTTTCCCAGGAATAAAGTCTTCTTTCTGGGAGTAGAAGGCAGAGAGATCTTTCTTAGCAAATAAAGCAACAAAATGGATCAAGAAAAGTAAAGTGGTGACCTGGAAGTGGGGTTGAGACACTTTTATAGAACAGAGAGTGTTTAAGATTTGCACATTAAGTCAATCTTTTTTATGGTACAAAATGGATTTTTGAGCACAGCATTAAGTAAGGAAAAAAACAAGACACCTTTGTGAGAATTGGATAGCCAGCATAACTGAGTTTTGAACACAACTATTCTTTCCTTAAATTGAATTTAAGGTCCAAAAGTTTCTATACTGAGATGGAGATGAAAATTACAATCTTCAGGCAAAAAGCAGGACAATCTCTAATTTGGCATCTATGACATATAAAAAGCTGTAACTGTTCACTTGATGCATGACCAAAGTTTTTGAAATCAGATTTGATAGCACCAATGGAAATAACTTTTAGTCCCATGTATTTCAGGAGTCAAGGTATTTTTTTAAAAAAACAACTCTTACATTTTGTAGCATTTGGGAAGAATATGACAAAATGAAAATCAGACTGCTGCATATAAATGCAATGTGTGTGATATTTTGATGGGTTTTATTTGTAAGTTTGGACAAAGAGCGATATGTCAAGAAATGAATGTGTGTATTTAAAGAGAGGAGTCTTAATGAGACAACTGTTTATACAGGTTCAAAAATAGAATTGCTATGCTTGGATTTAACTAAGGATAAATAAATGCCAGAAAGAAAAAGTCTAAAAAGTTATCTTGCATATTTATACAGTATTGTCACTGATTAGTACTACATGCATATTGTACCCAATTATGGCACCAATCTTTGATAACCTTTAAAAAAAAAGCTAAAAACTTACAAATTTATTATGAGTATGTTTCTTCACAGTGGTCTGACGAACACTGTACTCCTCAAGTCATGCAAACAGAATTTCAAAGTTCACAAACACACCGTCATCTGAAAGAGCACCTATATGAGATGATAATAGAATATTTTGACAAAGGAAAGGTAATTTTATCTTCCTAATTCCTGCTGAGTAGTTTTGTGCCATGGGTTATAATCTCATTTCATCACCCAAAGCAGTAATGCCTAATATTGAGAAAAATATGTGTTCAGTAAATTGCCGGGTGGTTGTGATCCTCATTATACTGCAGCATAGAATTTATGGAAGAATGTTATTGTATGCTGTCTGTGACATTATTAAAATATTGCTATGAATCAGGCAATGCAGAAATTACATGGTGTAATGTGTTTTGGTCTTGTTTATTTTATTTTGTAAGAAGAAAGGCATGCAGGGTTTTCGGATTAGGCTGAAATCACCAAAATAACTTAATAGATGTTTTTAGAAAATATTTGTATTTCCCAGGTAGGCACTAGCACTTAGTAGCAACTTCTGTTTGGTACTGCTGTTGTCATATCCATTTAATTGTAGAAGCATTGCAAAAGGACTTGTGATTTTGTCAGGCTTCGTGAAAGGTTGCCTCTAGAATATTTATAATATATTTGTGACATGAAGCCAAATTATAATTTGAATGATTAGCCTGCGATGAACAGAAGCACAAACTTTGTAGATATTACATGAGAGAAAAAGCATCATACCTGACTTAGAACAGGGTAAGGGGGCCTCTGTCTGCTTATTACTTGGATGGATAACATCTAGTCAATGTGGTGGGATTCAGCCAGTTCGCACTAGTTTGGCAGAACCGGTAGCTATTTTTTTGTTGCCCAGGCCCAGAAATGACTTCCGGAAGCGGCATCCACATACAGAACCAGTTGTTCACATATTTGAATCCCACTACTGAGTAAATCCCATATCTGGGAGCTAGACTGGCGGCTGAAAAAAAACACTCCAGAAGACAACATCAAATCATTTCCTCTGTTGCCAAAAACACACACTGACATGTCTGTGAGATTACCAAAATTGAGCTGAACTTGAAAAAGATTTTAGATTAACAACCTTGTACAGGTAGTCCTTGACTTACAATAAAATTCATTTAGTGACCATTCAAAGTTACAACAGCACTGAAAAAAGTGAGTTATGACTGTATTTCAAACTTACAACTGTTGCAGCATCCCTAAGGTCAGTGATCAAAATGCAGACCCTTGGCAGCTGACTCATATTTATGACAGTTGCAGTGTCCCAGCTTCATGTGATCATCTTTTGCCACCTTCTGACAAGCAAAATCAGTGGGAAAGCCCCAATTCACTTAACAACCATGTCACTAACTTAACAATTTCAATGATTCACTTAACAACTAGGGCAAGAAAGGTTGTAAAATGGGGCAAAATGGGGAAGCCCAATTCACTTAACAACTGTGTCACTTACTGTACTTAAAAACTGCAATGATTCACTTAACAATTAGGGCAAGAAAGACTATAAAATGTGGCAAAATCCACTTGTTTTCCTTAGCAACAGAAATTTGGGGCTCAGGTGTGGTTCTAAGCCAGGGGTGTCAAATTGCCAGCCCGCGGGCCGGACGCATCACAAGGAAATCATGCCCACCCCATTGCCGGAAAAAGTTCTGATATGTCGCGTGACATCACATGACATTGCGAGTTTGACATGTCTTTTCTAAGCCAAAGACTACCTGTATAAAGTTAATGTAAATTAGTAGAGAGCTGGTTCATTGAACTTCATTGAGAATGCAAGTATCTGAGACAGTTACATTTCAATATATTTGTATAAAATATGAGATGTATGGGTAAATTTCTTACGTATTAAAATTAACAGCAAAGGTTGATTTATCCCGTAAACTATATAGACATCTGCAAAACTGTGTAAATATCACAAAGTAGGGCTGTGCAAAATACGCAGAAGAAGCACTTCACAATGCACACTGGTATAAGCAAAGCACCCCTGACAGAGTTTAAGTGACAGTACAGGTCTTGTAAAAAGCACCATTATTTTCATGCTTTCAGGAGAAGTGCTTTCTTCTCAGCAATATGCTTTACATAGTCTTTTCTCAAAGTTTGTCTGAGCATATCTTCTCAAAGAGGTGTGAATGAAATAAATTGGGGTTCTTCAATGTTCTTTCAGGAACCTAATATTGTTGCAAAAATAAATCACAAGGCCTTAAATGTATTCCCTCAGCATAGATATTTCTGGTTACACAAATATTATTCTTCTGGAGTTCTAATGTAATATTTCAAAGCATTTTGCATAATGAATAAAGATTGCTCTGAGAGAGACAGGGGCAGACATTTAACCTGATAAATAAAGAATTCAATAAGCTTTTCTAAAGCTATGCAATTATATATCTAAATTTCCTGTTATGTTGCAGATGTGGGAAGAAGCAATAGGCTTGTGCAAAGAACTAGCAGAACAATATGAAATGGAAATTTTTGATTATGAACTTCTAAGCCAAAACTTGGTAAGAATGGAATTCTACAAAAATATTATGGATTTTTAGTTGTCTGTAGTTTCAAATTTATTTCTGAAACCTTTCTGTAATCCAGGTTTAGGTTTTTTTATAAGTGGATATAATCTGGTCAAGAAAAAGTTTTTGTTAAGGCTAGAAACCAGGAAGCTATGAGTTCTACTGTTGTCTTTGACATAAAATCAGCTAGATGACTTTGGGCCAGTCACTGTCTCTCAGTCCCAAGAAGGAGACAATGGCAAATTACTTCTGAAATTTAGCCAAGAAAACTACAGGGACTGTTCCAGTCAATCACAAGTAGTGAAATGCTGGCTCAAAGCACATATCTATATATCCAGTTTATCATTATTTCAGACAAATGAGTAAAAAAAATTAAAATATTGAAGGTAAGTAAATCCAAATCAATAAAATAGACATTTCTGCCTTCTTTGCCTTGGCAAAAAAAATGATGTTCTGTAAGTTATAGGTTTGTATATTATGGCTGTGAGCTAAGAACTCAACATACAGTTGAGAAACTTAATGTCTCCAGAAGATCTGCTTTCTCACACTGTAAAGGACTGTAGGGGAAATAAATTGAAACTACATTCAGGCAAGAAATGTCAGGAGATACTCTGGAATGGGCTTTTACTTGCAGTCTGGGATCTTCTGTTGTAGATAGCCTCATAGCAGCAGTGGAATCACTTATAATCAGTGTCAGTTGATAAGTGAGGCGCATACCTACTTGCTGTTTGAGACGTATGCTTGAGTAATTTGAAAGCTAGATTACTGCAATCGTTCATGGAATAGCCTAGAAGACAGTCCAGAAATTGCAGCTGGCCCAGCTGTAATTGCTTTCCAACCCAATTCAAAGATACTCACAATGATGTATGAAACCTTATAAACCATAGGCCCAAGATACTTACAGCATTACTACTCTCATCTCATATTTTTAATTCATCAATAGGATTACAGCTTTGGAGGTGAGAAGCTCAAAATATATTTATTTTCCAAGCTCATTTATATTATTGTTTTTATAGATTGTTTTTACAGAATTCTGTAAGTTGCCCAGAACTACTAAGGGACTTGATTTTCTAAATACAATAAAAATGTCCAAAATTAGAACCATTGAATTGAGGTGGGAACTGTTTCATAATGAGTTGAAGTTAGTGCTGTTTTTCAAAAGAACAAGGAATGCTAATTCTATAAACTCCTTTATCATTTTGAAACATAAATGTAAATAAAAATGATTTTACCTCATGAAATAAAAATCAGTGTATTTCATTTTAAATTAAAGTTCCCATTCATTTTATAGACTTTTCAAATAGACTTTAGACTTGCACATTGTGCTGACTTTTAAATTCACTGGCATTTGCAAAATACAACATTGCCTCTATGTCCTTGATGGCCACTTTAGACAATTATTTCCTATGTTTAGCTTTATATCAAGCTATAGAACTTAGCATTGCAATTTGAAATTGGCCAAAGGATCATCACTTTGTATAAGATTCACACCATAAACTTTACCAAGTAGGCCTTGCAATTGTCTACACAATAATTGTAGTTCCGCTTCAGTTATTTTAGCCTGACTATGATACCTCATCCTCTCATTTGCAACTCTAGCCCAGTGACACTAAATTATTGCAAATTATATAATTTAAGGTTTAATTGACATTTGAGGTGACACAGAATTATTTGTAAAACTGAGGTTTTGCTGTAGTAATTAATTTACAAATATTAATGAAAATGAGAAAAATCAGAATTACATATTTTAAATTATGGAAAAGTATTGAATTAAGGCGAACGTATGTGTCCCAAAATAATCTCGGAGGATCCAATCTAGGTCGGTCACCAGGACCAGAGGTTCAGTCTTTCAAGCTTTTGGACTCATGCCAGAGCCATCCTCAGGGAACTTCTCTTTCACATACATTTTGGAGAGAGAGAGAAGTTCCCTGGGGATGGGTTTCAGAACGAGTCTGAAAGCCTGGAAGATTAAACCTCTGCTCCCAGGGACTGACCCAGATTGGATCCTATGGAAAGATAACCCTAGTGTCTGAGGAATTGATTGTAATATAATCCCAGAAAGACCTGTTACATCTCTTTTTCCTTTCAGATTCAGCAAGCCAAATTCTATGAAAACATCATGAAAATTCTGAGACCTAAACCAGATTATTTTGCGGTTGGATATTATGGCCAAGGTTTCCCCACATTCCTAAGGGTAAATTATCTACTCTGGATACTTTGTCTTTAACAAATTTCAATTTTGTAGTAGCCTTATAGAATGCCAATATTCTACTCATGGAAATGGAGTTATTCACAAATGGGGGGGATTTGTCTTCATGAGGTTCTGCCAAGAAAAGAATTTCTGTCTTGCAGCTACCTAAAATGCCATTTGTAACAATATGGAATGTCACTTTTTCAGAAAGGAATTTTATTTATTGTGGGGGGGGGTTCCCTCTTGCTTTCAAGGTTAGAAGAAGGTTTATAGTGAGGGTAATGGAGTGATAAGGGAGCGTTTAGGATTCTTACAAGACAGTCATAATTAAAGGATGGTTTATAGCTGAAGAGAATTTAATGAACAATAAAACCAACAATACGAATAGCCAAGACAATGAAGCAGGAAATCTAATGAATTTTATATCTGGTGTATATTCATTTCTAATTGACAGCTCACAGGTGAAATTTCATTTGAAAGGCTCTCACATTTAGGTACCTTGACTATTCTCAGAAGTATTCTTATTGTTGGTAATTTTTACAATCTGGCAAAAAATAATCTTATAATTTTCTTTTCTTCGTCTCCAATATGCTTTTAAAGGAACAATAATAAGCAAAGAATTCAAGAATCAGTTTCCCTATAGAACTGTATTAGATGCCTTCTAGCAATCAACCAGGGTCAAGAAAATGTACTGAGGGACTAGTGGCAATTATATCACATTTTGGTCTTGTTGTTATTTTAGAAAAACAGCTTTCTCTCTTTTACTTCTCAAGAGGGACGTAACAGACAATTTAGTTGAGTATTATGGTCTTGATGTATTGAATTTCATATTTAATCCATCTTTCCAGCTTTTAAGAAGAACAGGATAAAAAACATTATGATGTTATGTTATGTTTAACAATGATTTATTTTTCCTAGCAAGTTCACAACCAGGTTTGTAATCACATAGAGTGTTTATCCTTTTTTTAAAAAAAACAGAATAAAATATTCATTTACCGAGGCAAGGAATATGAGCGGAGGGAAGACTTTCAAGCACAACTGATGAGCCATTTCCCAAATGCTGAAAAAATGAATACTACTGCACCCCCTGAAGACAAACTGAAGAATGCTGCTGTTCAATGTATCCTTAGAAGCAGGGGATTTTAGTAAATAAACAAAAGCTATTTGAAGTAAAAACCCTTATTCAAAGTTTATGGGGAATATGAAAAATTCCACTGATTTAAGCCACTTCACATGCTTCCTTTTAATTTATATATTGTTTTGCAAAATGAGCAGAACAAATGTATGATTCTGTTTCACAAGTTTGTCAAGAAAACAAGGCTTTGCGATGCTCTCGGTAATCATAAATTAACCTCTATGAAATATATAGGACCTTCTGCTTTGTTTGTGGGACCTGCTAAGTATATTTTCTTCTGGAACATACCGGTAAAAAGGCTATATTAGCATTCTTGCTTTTTTTTAGTCCTCGACTTATGCAGACAATTGAGCCCCAAATTTCTGTTGTTAAGTGAGACGTTTGTGAAGTGAGTTTTGCCCCATTTTTATGACCTTTCTTGTCACCATTGTTAAGTGAATCATCCCGGTTGTTAAATCAGAGTTGTTAAGTGAATATGGCTTCCCCGTTGAATTTGATTGACAGAAGGTCACAAAAATGTGATCATATGACCGTGGCATACTGTATTGCAACAGTCATAAATACGAACCAGTTGCCAAGCATCTAAATTTTGATCACGTGACCATGGAGAACGCTGCAACGGTCGTGTGAAAAATGGTGGTCATCAGTCCCTTTTTTTCAATGCCATTGTAACTTTGAACAGTCAGTAAATGAACTGTTGTAAGCTGAGGACTACCTGTAGAGTTCTCCGTTTCAAATGGCCACCAGGGCATATGTCCTACCTGCTTTTTTATCAGTTCCTTGCCTATTAAAATACTTGAGTTAGCCAACACTATAAAAATAATGCTTTCATAACATCCTAAAGAAAGTTGTGGATATCTGTATCCTGTATCATGATAGAGAAGCTTAAGCAGTGAAATACCTATTCAATCAAACTTCCCAAGAAATAAAAACTTCAAAGAAGTGCATTATTCTTAAAGTAACCTCCAGAAATGAAAAATGCCTCTAGTTACATTCTAAAATCATCAAGGCCATCTTGCTAAACAACTTTAAATCATTAAATAGCCAACTCCTCAGAGTCCTGGTTTGATCATACTGGCAGCTTTTATCCCAGAATTCACAGATAAGCCTGCCTGTATCAAATATCTTTCTGGTCTATTTTTAAACAGCACTATGTATGGGTGATATTGAAGTTTTTCTCCCTTTATGTTGGAATGTTCAAGTTCACCTAAATATAATCTTGAATGCTCAGCAGATACAGAAAAATTGCCACCAAAGTATGATTTATACTGCTCAGGGTTTTTGTTTTTTTAATTAGAAACACTGCTTGTTGGATTTGATTTTGTTTAAAACAATAGAAATCAATAAAAAATATTCTTCTGCACTCTGAAAAGAGCAACCTATCATTTTAGTGAGGACATTAAAACATATAGTATGACATTTTGAAGCAGTAAATTCCCTTTCTCTTTTTTACATGCAGATACAGAATACTGTCTAAATGCAAATGTTAACAAATACACTCTGTGTCTCTGAATGTGCATTCTGCTTCAGAAGGAGGCAAATAAATCCACATCAGCAACACATCATCAAATTATTCATCATCATGTATTTTGGCTGACCAGACAAGCTCAATTCAACTTACAATCATTCATTTGGTGACCATTCGAAGTTACGACGGTGCTGGAAAAAGTGATTTGTGACCGTTTTTCACACTTATGACTATTGCAGCAATCCCATGGTCATGTGATCAAAATTGAGATGCTTGGCAACAAGTTCATATTTATGACGGCTGCAGTATCCCCCGGGTCACGTGATCACCTTGTGCAACCTTCTGACCAGCAAATGGGGGAGGCAGATTCCCTTAACAACCATGTTACTAAATTAACAACTGCAGAGATTTACTTAACAACAATGGCAAGAGAGATCGCAAAATGAGGCAAAACTCACTTAACAACTTCTCATTTACCAACAGAAATATGTGGTTCAATTGTGGTCGTAAATTGAGGACTACCTGTATTACAAGATTAAGTTACTAAACCCTGGAACCTTTGGCCCAAATTTTGGCTTTAGAACAGAGCCTTTCTGCATTGCAATTTATCATTGAGAACACAATAGAGATAATGAACAGGAAAGCCTATTTTCTTAGGGTTTCCATTACTTAATTTAGGTATCACATTTCTCAGTCTCTTCCTTAGTGAATCATGGGAAGATAGAGTTGGTAGTTAGATGGAGACTGGCAGTGTAAAAGTCTGCTGCAGATACTAATTGGCATTCAATTGATTCTGAGTCTCTGAGCTAAATGCTTGTCAGTTCTCTTATTGAAATTCAATAATAGGCAGAAGGTATTTATTCCTAATTTCCCTACAGTAATTATACATGATTATAGATCAGGTAGCAATGCTGGAGAAAGGTCATATACTTTCTAAGAGATCTGAAAAGGGTATCCTAGAGATGTTTCTGCTCTCATTGTATATCCTCATTGCTGTAAAACACGGTTTATTCTGCTTTAGCTTCTAATCTTCAGTACAGAATAAATAATAGTCCAATGTTATTTATGTATCATTGGTAGGAATGTTCATCATCACTTGCCTCTGATATTTCTTTTTGTGGACCTGATGGGGAATTGAATTAAAGTCTTCTTCATTTAGACCCAACTAAGCAGCTATTGAGACTGGCTCAATAAGACAAGCACAACCATCACAGGCAGTGATTCCTCTCTTATGTACTTTTGATCCTCTGAAAAGCTGCTTTTCATCTCCCACATCATAAAGGAAAGCTTCTGAAGGAATGATAAAAGGTTATTGCTTCAAAACATAAACAGGACAGCTATAGACGAATCCTTTACACTGAAAACACTGCCCTCTTCTAAGGTTATATTCAACACTTCAGGGTGAACAAGACAACTGCAAATTCCTTTTCTCTATCACAACATGAACAGCTCTTGCTAATAATCTGTTCCTGTTCATGTCCATCTCACAGAAATATAGTATACAAACTCCAAAGTGTCAGTTGAAATCTTTGCACCATATAATTTTAGTGTGCATCTCTGTAAATCTGCAATAGTGCATTTGAAGAATAAGATGCCTTAAAGCAGCAGCATAAGTTAAATCAGTCTTCTATGTGAAGACTGTGCCTCAGGGAAAACCAACTTTAAGCTCTTGTGATCTCATAATGAGAGCTGAGCTTCCAGCTTTACTGTAATATATTTGAAATCACACAGATCTCCTTTCTTTTTGGCTACTCTGTAGCTTTGGAGGGTATATGGATGGGCCAAATTCCTACTAGCAAGAACTCTTACAGTATTTCTTCCTAGTTCTTGGAGGATTCACATGTATATCATCTTGCTAAGATGCTGTTATTTCAGAGTTCCTTAAAATGTAACAAAGGAATAGTGCTTGGTTGGTTCTGCAGCTTCCTGTTTATAGCTCTTACATTTTTTTAGATATTACTAGATACCATGCTCAAAACATGAAACAAGATCTGAATGGAATGGCATTAGTCAAAAGCAGTGTTTTGCACTTTCCAGTTGATCAGCTAGATATATTATTGATTGGCTTGCTGTAAGTTCTCTGTATGTCAATGATTGATGGCAGTGAATTGTGTGTCAGCTTCAAACTACTCTTAAGGAATTGGACTGCACACAGTAGTAATACCTTGGTTTGTAAACAGCCCAACCAAAGAACCACAAATACTATTCTTGCCAACACTGACAGGACAAGGCACTAGAATATAAAATGAGAGCAAAACTCACCCCTTACTAGCAGTGATAATGTTACCTAATTTAGGTAATGACAGGTCTGCACGATAACAACCAAGCTCAGAGAGCACCAAGGACCCCTCTTTTCAAACCTGAGCTGAAGAAAAAAACAAATATTTCCCTCTATCAATAATGTTCAATTTATTTGGAACATAGACTTAATCAACCAATTTGTTGTACGCTTACTTTTTAAGCTGAATTGTGAATTTTATTAATTATGTGATAATTTTATAAAAGACTGTTCTTAAACAATTTTTTTGTTTCCAGATTACTGATTGTGTCCATTAATGGTATAATGTCCTTAGCTCTTGTGGTTTTAGATTTACAATGCTTCACTGTGCAGCCAGTTTTGGAGGAACATCCTCAATTCAAAAATAAGCCAGTGCCTGATCAAGTAATCAAGTAAGCCCTTATTATCTTATTGACCATGTACAAATTCCTATAACACAAGTTATCAAAAGTCCTAGGTAGCTTCCATAAAAGTTGGAAAGTTTAATTTGCGTTATGGCATTCAAATCAAGACAATTCTTCCTCTGGAATAACATATCATCCAAGACCAGGTTGATCTGACCCTGCTGGCCTTTCTCAAGATGCTGAAAACATGGACGTGCTCCAGAGCACAAAGGTCAGGAGGTTAGATGACCTATGAGATGTTATTGTTGAGTGTTTATTGGATGTCTTCTCCAATACTATTGTAGATTTTAATGCATTTGTTGATACTTTCTATATTGTTTTTGACATGTTGGATTACCAGTGTTGAATTTATGAGATGGGTGTGGCCATATCAAGTAAGTTAATAAATAAACTCAAATTTGGGTTGGAATGATCAGATAGGGGAAGACATTCTCCAGACTTGTAAAAACAAGAACTATTGCCATAGCAGCCAGCAATTCTACAAGGGAAGAAGCCACATCAGCTGAATGAAACTTTGACAAGGTTTCTTCTTTATAAAATTTCACAATCCCCAGATTAAAAAAGATATCTACTGGGTACAATCACTGACAGTCTGTTTGCCAGGCACATATTAAATTAGCAGGGAAATAATAGAACAGGCTGACAGACTTAATGAGTTAAAATATAACTTTGATGATGTTCTCAAGAATGGATTATCAAACCCAGAGGTTCCATTATGGGAACAAATGAGAGGCCCTAGAGTCTATCCATCTTGAGGGGGAAAATTGTTTGTTGGTAGATGTTAGTCAATATTACATCGATCTATTTTATTGCAATGAGAATACTCCCTTTCTCTTGTACTGCTACAAGGACATAGAGAGTTTCAACTTGCATTATTTTCTTAATCAAAGTTTAATAGATTTTATTTTACTAGTAGATAAACTGAAAGCATCTTCTTCTTTCTGCCTGCTAACATTTCCAAATGAAATGGTATCTGAAAGACAAGATAACTGTGTGTAATGAATAAAGGAGAAAGCAAGAGAAATAAGAAGGGATGATGCCCTTTGATATTACTGAAGCCTCTGCACTTTTGTCATGTAGTTCGGATGTTTTATTTGGGAGCTTAATTCTTAAAAGATATGAAAGGAAAGATAGAGCCACTTTGGTCTAGTGGTGAAGGCACCATGCTAGAAACCAGGAGGTTGTGAGTTTTAGTTTTGCCTTAGGCATGAAAACCAGTTGGATGACTTTGGGCTACTCGCTGTCTCTTAGCCCAACTCACTTCACAGGGTTGTTTTTCTGGGGAGAAGGAAGAAGAAAGGAGTATTAAGTAAGTTTGCTGCCTTGCTTTATTAATAAAAATAATAAAGATGGAATTAAAAAAATCTTTTTTAAAAAAGGTAAAGATTTACTCAAAATGAGCTTGATTCCTGGTCCATGCACTTTTCTTTGACAAATAGCAATAGCACTTACATTTATATACCCCTCCATAGTGCTTTACAGCACTCTCTGAGCGGCTTACAGAGTCAGCATATTGCCCCCAACCATCTGGGTCCTTATTTTACCAACCTCAGAAGGATGAAAAGCTGAACCAACCTTAAGCTGGTCAGGATCGAACTCCTAGCTATGGGCAGAGTCAGTCTGCAGTACTGCATCCTAACCACTGTGCCTCCACAGCTCCTAACTAAATGTGTTTTGCTGTTGTATCTTTTTAGGGTTTTATTTTATTTCCCAAAATAGCTCAGATTTGCTGGCTTTCCTGGTGTTCTCCCATTTAAATGGTAACCATGCCTAACGCCTACTTGGCTCTTTCAAGATCAGCTATGGTTGATATATTCTGTCACATGTTGTGATTTGTATGAAATTACTGTTTTAAAACATTGTTCTTAACAGCACCATGTTTTGATTACAATCAGCTCTGATTTATCAACTTGTGAAGAATGGCTAAAGTTTACTTCAAATGGAACTTTAGATACTGGAGAATCAATAAGTGACATCTTTGTTCTCCCAAGTTTTCTTTTTAATATTCTTCGTCTGTAAGGAACTTTTAAAATTGGCAGCATAAAGCATTTTTCCACCTGCATCTGCAAGCTAATGAAAAGGCTCTTCTACCATGAGACGCACAAATTACCGGCCTAATAGAAGGCACCTTGAAAGCACACACCGTTCATGTCTTTGTAACTGTCCTTCCATATGTCATGTTGTCACTACTTAAATTTATTTTTCCCCCATCATTAAAGATAAAACTGTTGGTGTACCACCAATCTAACTAATGTTGCCAAATGTAGCTGATTGAAGGGAATGATAATTCAGATGTAATGCGATAGCTGTCATGTGTTTGAACAGACCTTTTCAATTTAAGTTTCCACAGTCATTTGTGTGAAAATGGGAAGGTGGCAAGCCATGTTAACTGTGGAGAAGCACTTGTTAACAATAAAGCTGGCAGGATTGAGGGATCATTTCTTCCTTCATTGGACTAGTTCCAACCTTTCTTTTTCTTTTTGACACACTGTTGTCACTATATCATTTGGGTTCTTGTCTCTTTTCTTCTTGCCATGTTATCTTGAATAATCATTGACCCGCTCATTTCTGTCTTCTGCTACATTAAGCCTATTGCCTTCGGCAATGTCTTTAAGAGAGTTTCTTTTCTGTTGATTAGATAATCAAGGTCAAAAGTGAATACATATCAAGACATCAAAATTAGATATAAAATCTCCAGTAGGAAAAAAAATAAAGCTATCTCCTTATTTCAACTATGCATGTTTGTGCGTATGTGTAGCTGTATGTGTGTGTTTGTCTCTGTGTATGAATAGGTCAGAGAATGCACAGCTACACCAAAGCAGTGTTTTCATTCCTTAACTTTTGTTCTTTAAATCCTGTTATTATTATTATTATTATTATTATTTATTAAATTTATATCCCGCCCTTCTCCTTGCGGACTCAGGGTGGCTAACAATCAGATAAAAATACACAAATAACATACAAATTTAAAAATTGGTTAAAAAGGAAATATTTAAATTTGATCTAATTAAAATATAATTAAAACCCCCTCTAAAAGTTTCCCCTAGGCCAGTCCCGCAAGCTGGAATAACCATGTCTTAAGGGCGCGGCGGAAGGAAGGGAGATCAGGGATCACCCTGATCTCTGGGGGCAGTTCATTCCAGAGGGTGGGAGCTCCC